CCACTGCACTCCAGTCTGGGCGACAGAGTGAGACTCCAACTCAAAAAAAAAAAAAAAAAGAGCCAGAGGGCCTGGGTTCCAGAATCAGCTCTGCTACTTGCGACTGTGCCTTTGAGCAGTAGCTCAACCTCTCTGTGCCGGTTTCCTCATCTGTACGATGGGGTGATAATAGCACCTACCTCGGAGGGTTGCTGTGGGAAGCAAATGTATGAACGCGTAAAAGGTGCTTTCAGTGCCTGGCACGTAGCAGATATTCAAACACGTGAGACGTTGAGCACATGGAGAGCGTCCGTCCTCGGTCACACACCTCCTGGCTCTAGGCTGATGGTTCTGCTACCTCCACCGTCACTTCTACCATCTCTCCCGTTCTCCATGTTCCCACCCTGTGAGGTCACAGGCCTTGCCCCTTTATTTGCCCCAAGTACCACTAACAACAGGGTGAAGTGTCTCACAGTGGCCAGGAGTCACCTATCCCGAGAAATGCACCTGTGCCATGGCTCAGCCACTCACCCCCCGGCCTTCCCCCCCTCGGAAGGGCCACCCTGGCTCCCTGCCAGCGCCACCGTGTCGCCGGGTTCCATTCACGTTCCATCTCACTAGCACGAGTTCTCTCGTACAGCTCCCAGGTACATCCAGGGTCCCAGGTAGCCTCAGAAAGACGCACTAGCCAGGCGCGGTGGCTGCCGCCTGTAATCCCAACACTTTGGCAGGCTGAGGCAGAGGATGGCCTGGGCCCGGGGGGTTCGAGACCAGCCTGGGCAACTTGATGAGACCTCGTCTCTACAATCAATCAAAAAATGAGCCGGGCGTGGTGGCACTTGCCTGTGGGTCCAGCTACTTGGAAGGCTGAGACGGAAGGATCGCCCGAGCCCCGCAGGTGGAGGCCGCGGTGGTCGCGAGCGTGCCACCGCCCTCCAGCCTGGGCCGTCCAACTCAAAAAAAATAAGACGCGCTGGCGTCGGAACGGGTGTCTGTTTCGCGAGGCCGGCATGCCCGCCCCCTTCTTCTGAAAGGAGCCCCCCTCTCAAGTCGTGGGAATCCACGGGACTCTCACTCTCACGCCTCGCGGCTCGGGGAGACCTGGGCCCGCCGCTC